CTCTGTGTGTATAAAGAAATAATCCTCTTATTCTCAGCTAGTGAAAACTGCATGAATTTGTACTATAACCTAATTTGTGCACCTTTTGCTGTTTTTTTGGCTTAATTTTGGAAGTTAACTGGTGTTTTGACATAAATAGACCAAATTTCATGAACAGATATGAAGGGTTACTAACAGAGTTCAATGGTTTTAAGGTTGATTGCTTGTGACTTTTCGCGGAATGGTTCCGCTATTCTGGGCCAATAAAAATTTGACAAATCACTTTGGTATAGTAGGCTCGCAGCATGTGATCATTTCCCTTGAGGAGTTTACAACCGGCTACAGCAAGTTACTTCCGGTGCAATCGATTCACGTTTTTGCACTAATGGCGCTAGGGTTCCTCTCTTTCCCTAACTCGTTTCCAGAGCTAAGACTTTTTTCGAGCATCTGCGCCTATAAATCACCGACCGATGGAGGACGACGGCGCCGGACCCACCTCCAAGATCCCCGACGAACAACCACTCACCGGTTCCATCCCCGACGGCGGCGCCTTTCCCACCGCAAACCCCTTTTATGATGCATACTCTGCCAGTACCAGGCGGAGGCGGAGCTCATCCCGGACAATCTCCACCTTCAGGCCCACGACCACGCCCTGGTCCTCGAGATGGGGAATTTTCCGGAGGCCGAGTAGAGGAAAAGTGGGGATAAGTGAACAGACCCTACTGTGAGGTCTCGCATTCGTCAGGTAATAATAACACCAACAAAAGCTCGAGTTTTTGGGTTTATCTCAAGGGTTTGACGGAGGAGTTGCGGGAGGTGTTGGGGTGAGCAAATTTTGCAGGGGGAAAGAGGGGCAAGCGAATCCGGAGCTTTTGGATTTCGAAGCTCTAATTGAAGGGTTCGACTTGGCCACTCCGCTCGACTTGAAGAGGATTTCCATTGTTATTGACAACCTTTGCTTTATCAATTTGTGAGTAAACAAACACTACTTAACAAGTTTTCTTTGGTTGCTGTGTAAGGGCTGTTGTGTGTTGTTAAATTTCTATCCAGAACAAGAAAAAGACCTTACCCTCATCTTATTTTTTTTAAGCTTTAGGAGTGGTCTTGATGAAGATCGAGATTTAAGTCTTATTTTTCATATGTTATGGTTTGAACCTGAGGTGTATATGGAGTTATATACTAGATTTTGCATTTCCTACCCGTTGAGATGGTCCCTAGAGTGTACTCATGTCAACTTCTCGTTTTTCAGTATTCAATCATGTCCAATTTTTGGCTCGTTCATGCCGCAGAAAGTCTCATTTGCTTTTTCTATATACAGTTTGAGAATCTGAGTTTCCAGTCGAGATCGAAACGATGCCGTCGCTTAGAGGAGTTCTTCTCAAGGTCATCATCCTCGGCGATAGTGGGTGAGTGTTTCCTGTATTTTGACGAATTTGTTTTGGCGTGATGTGCTTTTTTCTTTCTTTTTTTTTTTTTGTTTTTTTTTTTATTTATTTCGTTATCATGGAGGATCATTTTCAGTCCAGGGTTTGATTGATCGAAAGTGAAAAATGGATAAACTCGAGGTTGTTTCATTTGATCTTGTTGTCTTGTGAGTTATAGCCCAGTTAGATTTTTCTACACATCATTGTCTTAGTTTTGCCTTTGTGGATTAATCTTTCCCTGTAGTTCGTCAGCGAATAGAATATGTCAGTACTTCAAAAGCAGTGTTTAGCTGCAGGATTTATGTAAAATGTTTTTTGAAGTTTTCGTTTGGATCGAGTTTTCCTTCATTATTGAATATCAGTTTAGTTAGTGCTTCAGATACATTTGTTTATCTGAAATTTAGTATCTTTTTACCTAATTATTCTTCAGAGGTGCAAGAATCTGGGCTCCTCAAGTGAGGGTAACCACTTGATTATTATGTAGTTCCTAAATGATCAAGTATGTTAGAAAGCCAAATTGCATTAAAGAGAACTTAAATGGAGTTTTTTCATTTTTTTTTTTTTTTGCTAATAAAATTGTAAGATTTGTATCTAGAATGTTTGATGGTATCTTGTTCAGGCCACTTTTCATGTAGCTAAGTGTTGAAAACAAATGTCCGGTAATGATAATAATTAATAAGATCATGTTCTATTTAGAAACCCATAGCTACACTTTGTTTTATGCTTATTCCAGGTAGAAGATAAAGTTATTATATGAAACCCATAACTTAAACTACATTATCTTAAGTGCTTCATTGGATCAGAACAATGTATCACTGTTTTTGCAGGTAAATATCTGTGCCTGAATATATATTCGAGTGCATAATACGTTTAACTAGTTATTTGAAAGATTGATTCTTGAATAAGCTGCTGCAGTACTTATTTGCTCGTGTAACTAATCATTTTTTTTTCTCAAGTGTTTGGAAGTTTTTCCGTACAGTGGTTCATTATTGCTTCCATATGAACCAGGTAAAATTATTTCATCAAAGAAAGCCCTCTCAGATTCACTGTTTAAGATTAAAGCTCTCGGCTTCACTTGGTGCCAAAAAGAGTAGGAAAAAAGAAAAAAAAAATCAAGTTATAAGATGCAGAGCCTGTCGAGTAATAATAAACACCATGATCATTCCATGGGTCATTCATATGCAAGCTCGTATGGTGGCCACTTATCTCTTTGGTTCCCCGCCAAATAGAAACAACTTTCTCGACGAAACGGTGTTGCCGCTAAGCTTGACTCAAAATCTGAATACAATCGCATGCAAAGTATTTATTGGAGTCTGGTTATCAAGTAAAGGATCAGTGCTCGCCTATGTCAACTGGACAGTCTAATTTAGAAGCCGCCCCTTGTGTAAAAAACAGCTTTCATGAGCAAAATGTCTTGTTTCAACCAGATAAATAGTTTAAATGTTGAGTTTGATTATTATGCCACTTTTTTTTTAAAAAAAAATAAAAATTATTCACTTTGCTCTTTTCTCGGTTTGTAAGTATTTTTTGTTTCTAGCCCGTTTTTCTGTATGATTACTGATAAACATGGAACCAATGTGAGTTGATTTTTTTTCTTTTCTTTTCTCCTGTTTATTATTTTCGATTCTTCTTAGCACTGCTAATGTCAAGCGGACTCCTTGTTGGAGAAAAACATAGTGTTTATTCAAGGACATGGATTGAGTACACCTTTCATGCTTATATAGTTCATAAAAATTTGGAGTTGGCGTATGGTGAAATTATGTTGATGACTTCCATATTGAGAAGAAAGAATGTGCCGACCTATCATACAATGTTTCACTAATCGAGCTTTATATTGGAATATGATACCCAGTGTATTGGATATAATTATTTTTCTTTTTGTCTATATTTCCGGTTGTAAATAGGTTTCCTCGAAACTTGTAAGAAGAAAGCAGATCTGCCAAATAGTGGAACAGATTACCTTGGCCATCAAGTTCAAATGGAGCATCATAATGAGTCACTGGTTGGTTACACATTTTCTTCTAAAAATTTTAATAATTGAAGCGCTTGATCGAAAATCATTTTGCTGAAATTTCTATGTAATCCTATTTTCACTCGTAGGATTCTGCATCTTACCCTTTTGGTGAATCGTATTTCAGAAAAATAACGACCGTGTACAACCCAAATCCTGTTGTAAGTGTCCAACCACTTGCTCTCGTCTTTTTCTACGTGGCCAACATAATTCCATATGCTAAAATGCTCTTATCGAGTAAGTTAGCACATAACAGTGTCTTTATAAGTATTAGCACTTGCGGATACAATTAGATTTTTTCATAATTATTCTTTCCCTTTTTTCCCTTTGCATTGTAAAGAATTGACCATCATATATTGTACTCTCGACTCTTTTAATAAGCGCGTACTGTTTTGGTTCTAACCAGGTTTACCCTCAAGTGATGGAAATTGCATCAGCAAGAGCTGTGCTTCCTCTCGAATGTACAGAAAACATGGTTCCAATTTACGTCAATGCAAAACAGTACCACGCCATCGTCAGGCGCCGAAAAATCCGAGCAAGACTCGAGGCTCAGAATAAGATAACTAAATCTAGAAAGGTAAGTTAAGAGCCTTGACTTGATTAAAGAAAATAAGAAACCCGCCTAACTTCCAAANAAAAAAAAAAAAAAAAAAAAAAAAAAAAAACTAATAATCATCTAAACTAGTGTGACTCTTGATTTCTCCCCATAAGTAGAGATTTGAATGTATAAGTTGCTACTGTTATGCTGCAGCCCTACCTTCACGAGTCGCGTCATCTCCACGCACTCAAGAGAGCCCGTGGGTCGGGAGGCTGTTTCCTCAACACGAAAAGCGAGGAGAAATCGAAACCCCCGGGCCAAGAATTCTGCAAGAAGTCGGAGAACAACAGCAGCTGGGGGGCCTCCACCCCCTCTGCCTCGTCCGATGTCTCGTGCATCTTCAATAACAGCAATGACATTTTCCCGCCGCCTGACCTCGAAATCTCAATCGACTCCGCTGAGAGATATATGCAGATTGGGACCCGTGCCTGAATTCCTCTTCCTTGCACGGTTATAAATTTCAACCGGCACCTCATCCTTGGCTAATTTTTTGTACAACTACATTGTATTGTGGCTTTGTTAGTTTTTTTTTTTTTTTTTTTTTTGGAACTAATGATTTGGGAGGACCTGTAGAACTTGGAGTTATGCTTGCTTAGTTTTCTGTATGTTGGACGATGCTTGGAGGTTCTTTGTTACTCTACAATCTGTGTAAGTTTGTGTATCGTGCGCGTGTAAATTTCGTGCTCGTTTATTTTGTATGTTCGTGTTGTCTCTTTGGCTTGTGCTTTTCATCGTGTTCACCTTTCGTTTTCATGGATTGCTACAAAAATAAACCCACCCGGAGTTGGGGGGTACGTAGCCATGCTATTCGACCTAATGCAATCGCCGGATTTATTACCGTTAAATCAATAATGGCAGTACATATGAACTGAGGCAACTTTAAGCTCATACAAACGCACTTGATAGCAGTGAACCTAAAACATAACAAGAAAAGACATGGAAAACTTACATACATTTCTACACTTTTTACAAATGATACCTAATCCACTCAAGAAAACCAGAGCCAAAAAAACACAAGCAGTACATATGAACTGAGACAACTTTAAGCTCATACAAACGCAATTGATAGCAGTGAACCTAAAACATAACAAGAAAAGACATGGAAAACTTACATACATTTCTACACTTTTTACAAATGATACCTAATCCACTCAAGAAAACCAGAGCCAAAAAAACACAAACTACCACCCAAAACAGGGCTCCCCATCCAAAAACAAACAAAACACCAACTTCATCTCACACACCAAACCTCTCCGAACTCTTGGTCGACAGCCGCTTGAGAAACTCGTATGTCGTGATCATTGTCGTGGCTGACATCGACATCGAGGCCCATCTGGGCCAGAGTCCCCTATAACGGGCCCCCAAACCCCCTTCCCTCACCAAATCCCCCACCGTTTGCATAACCGTCATCGATTTCCCTTTCCCCCCACACGGTTCTCCTCTGTCCAAAACCTGAAGCCTCGTTTTAATCGTGTCGAGCGGCATCGTCACAAGCACCGAAGCCCCGCTGACCATGGCTGCACTCACCCCTTGCACTGCCACCACCGCCGCCCTATAACCGTTATTCTCGGTCTTCCTACACCCGATCGAATGTCTATTATTCAATTGTTCAGTCCTGTTTATAAACAAAATTTCCTTAGCATGCTATTATTATCTTTCTCAGAAAAAATATTTCTAAGCATGCCCTTTGTTTTACCTAAGCACATTAGTTTGAGATTAAATTGTGGAACGGCTTATAACCCATAATAGTAACTGATGAAGAAATTAAGACAACAGAGCAGGATGACCAAACCAACACTTCCTAGAATACAACTTTCTTAAAATTGTATTGAAAGAACAATATGAGATATCATATAAGAACCCTGTGTCCAAGATATCATATAAGACTGTACAACTCAAAGATGTTTAAAAGTACAAAACTCAACTGGTTAACATTTAGCTAACTGCTCAATTATGAGTTTAACCTTTCCAAGATAAACTGAGCACCAAAAGCCAGCAACGCATAGGTTACAGGAACATAAAAAAAAATATGAAGGTAAGTTGAATTATTGTAACACAAATATAATCCATCTGATTCATTGAAAAACAGATAAATGACCAGAAATTAAGTCAAAAGCTACCACCAATTTTGTAAACAAATGAGTGACTCCTACAGATTAACATTAAAGACCTACAAGGAGCAGAAGTACGAGCTGTCGGTGAAGATTAAAAAGCTGCAGCAGAGGCTGGACTCACATCTTTCGAAGAGTGCGCTATTTTTCTAAGTATCTCTTCCTTGGCTTCATTTGCTTCATGGTAGAATATCTCAATAGCAATTTTCCTTTTCTCCAAATGTGAGTTTTTAATGCTGAAATGCATCCCGGCCCGTAGCTCGTCATATAGTTGCATGAATCTTATTGTGAATAATCCACAATCATAACTGCAATATAACAATGCGATCAACAATTCAATGTTGTCGTTAGAATATCTTATTCAACATAACCCAAACTCAAACTTACAGATTCTTTTGCTGTGGTGCCCATTGTGCGATTTTCGTAGGAAATTTAGAAATATTGACCCTATAAGTTGAACCACATCCAATCTCTAAAGCCTCATGGAAATACTTGAGCTGGATGACAATTAAATTTTATAAATAAAATCACAGCCAATAGAACTTGAAAAAAAAAAAGAAAAATAATTTCCAAAATAATTACCACAACTTTGACACTTGAAATACGTTTACTGCAATTTTTTGGCCTAAGTGAGTCCAATATCAGAACCTCCTGTCTAATTATGTACACTACACACAAGTACCAATGACCTCCAGGATTGCTTGGAATGAAGATCTATGCATTTAAAAATTCAATATGTCAATAAACCATTACTCAAACAATTTTCCTAGCTAACTTGTAAACAATGCATCAAAATTATGGAAAGTTACCTTTTCACATATTTTAATATCCCCTCCATATTTATCTTCACGCAAGAAATAACGATATATGCGACCAGCATCACAACCATTTTTCATTTCAGTAATGTATTGCTACATCATAAAATGTCTAATCAATTATATCTTCCAGTAAATAATAATGCAAATAATAATACAAGTAGATATTGATGACCTACCGAGACATAGGTTGGCATAAACCAATTTTCCGCTGATAGTTTAGAGGCATCATTTCGATTATCCCACCTCAGCATACAGGCGTATAGATTTAAAATCTACAAATCATAATCAACAATTACACTCGATCATTGTAAGGTTTAACATAAATAAACTTACTTCTGCACTTAGCCAGTTTGAAGTCTGTAGTTCTGTTAACCGTGTTCTTTCTCCAAATTCTCCTGACATCTCCACGATCTTTTCACTTGCAACATCAAAAAAGAAAATAAATTAGCAATAAATTTTATATGCATTCTGATGATAACTGTGCATAAAAATAAACACTTACTCAGGACTGTGGTTCACATCGAAGATGTACTTCAAAACATTCTTCTCTTCCTTACTAAAATCCTCTTCAACACCCTAATACAAAAAATAAATCATAAAACGGGATATGAATAGCGAGACACTTTTAACAAAATTTATTGATGTAGTTTGTAAGGCATTGTATGCATGTGAAATAATATATTACCTTACTCTTCAAGGGACTCTTTGTATCATTTTTCGGACTCATACGTTTGGAAGAAACTTCTTCAGATGAATCACTTAACACTATGTGCACCTCAGGTGATTTTTTTCTACCCATTCCACCCATTCCACTCGGAGAGGCATCCAATTCAAAATTATGACGAAATTTTTTAGCGCCGGCACCTGTTTTTTCACGAGATTCGGGATCCTCTTTTGAATGTTTTGCCTCTATAAGAGAATTAATCAACTCAAACAACCTATCTATCTTCGAATCCACATAGGCCATGCGACGAACCATATCATCCACCTTTTCTTCCAAACTAATTATCTTTTTCTCCAACCTTATGGCTCCATCTTCAACTATAACACCAACCTACGCATAATATTTAATTATAAATAAATAAAAATATTGATGAATTGCCTACACAAGAATAATAGATGCATCATTTAAACATAGAGAACTTACATTGATTGTTTCGGCTTTTTCTAAATTAATACTTCTAGGCCTTTTCGTTCCCATCTTGCGTTAAGCTACAATACATTCAAACATAGCTGAAATTGCACACATATAATTCCATACACACGTAGTGAACTCAATATGACAATAAACTCATATGCACAATTATTTCAATTTCACCCGGATACAGAAGTTACTAACTCAAATTACACACACCAAAATTCATACACACAAAGACTAATATGACAATATCATTCATATAAACAATTAATTCAATATCAATTGTGTGAGAAAGGTATAAAAATTCAATCTATCTCTATTCTTACTCTCGACGAGCACACACGCAATGATGCATGCATTGACACATCTACAGACACACATCTATTCTAGTAATATTTATATCAATTCTTAGTTGAAAAATTATGGCTACTGCTAGGTTCATCTACCTTGCATTTCAATCTAACAAACCATTAGCGACCACACAAAATCATAGGAATCCATAATCTTCTGAACCTTTGTCGTTCTTTCTTTTATCTGTGTAAACCTAAAAAGTTGAATCCACAACTATATTCTTGCAAAAAGCATTGCAAAATATGACACACAGATTTATATATACTTTTAAGCACCAGAATAGTGAAAAGAAAGTGAAAAGAAATTGATCTTAATAAAGACAGGAGCTTGTGACTTCTTTCTCAAGATAAGAATGAATCTATCGACTTCATTTTCTTATGCTCGGTAACCTAAACCTAGCTGTCCTAACTCCCTAATGCCAAAGAAAGCTATCGAGCAACTAGCTAGCCAAGAGGCGCTACCCCAGGCCTTGAGTCCATTCCCAGGATTCAAAGTAGTACTCTTTAGAGTGGCAGGAGATGATTCAGAGTAATTGAAGAACTCTACAAGCATAGAAAACATAGTAAAAAAGTTCACTATTGTTGCTCTAACATAGGTATAGGTTTGGATATTTTGATTTTCTACTAAAATTCAAGCCCTTTAAATTTCTAAGAGTTGGCCAAAGCCAAATCAAAATTAAAATCCATAAAAATTATTCAAACTAATAAATTGATTCTAAACAATAAAAAAAAAATGAGATTTACCTTTGTTGTGTGTGATCTCCAAACTTGAATGTTGTGACTNGAGTTTCTGATTTCTCTTAGAGAATGTGACCAGTTGCAGTTGGAAAGGGAACCTGTTGGAGTTGGGCTGCCTTTAAAAAAATAAATTGCCTACATTAAATCGTTGATAACATTTTTAATCAAGCACCTATATTGACTCTATCTTTCCCTTGATAACATTATTAATCAAACACTTACATTGTTCATGTTACTATGTATTCTAATAATAAAACAATGATAATACCAAATAATTTAAAACAAATAATGAATTAATGAATCAACATAAAAAAAGTTAAAGTATTTTTTATTTATGATATAATATAAATAATTAGGTGTTTTTTAGTGCAATTTATTTGTGAAAAGTTTTTTCAAGAAACTGCACATATTTCTTGCTAGTTTTTATTATTCAATATTTAGAGTGAGTTGAACAAACATAATGATGGTTAACTTTCAACAATAATATGTTTTATTTTTTTTACTAATCTTATTTATCAAATAAGTGCAAGTTATTTATTTTTCAGTGATAAATATTTTATATCTACAATGAATTATTTATTAAATAGATTTAGCTATTTGATGAATAATTATTGCAATTAAAACATATAATCTTTTATGAAAAATAAATTTAACAACAAAAAATCACTTAGATGGGATGAATAATGTATAAAACAAACTTCGCACACCTCGGCACCTCTTTGTTTTCCAAGTCACTGATCAGCCGGTAACCGCTTGACATGGCATGTCCTAATCCTTCGACTCATAGAAAAACATAATGTGCAAAGAACCAAACAGGACAAAGCTTCCCATATTTTTTTTTTTTATTTTTTTTTTTTTTGAATATTATAGTAGTAAACATGCCGTAAAAAAATTACTTAAATTCGGTACAGTATGAGATGGTTATGTTCGATCTAGGTACAAATATTTGTGAAATCTACAGAATCGTACCAATTATTTTTTTTCATTCGGTTCGAATAAAGACAAACGGTCAACAACTATTTTTCGAAAAATGTCAAACGATGCACGATTATTTTTCAATTCAGAGTGAATTCGATTTGGTTCAAGGAATCATTTGAAATTCTCCGAGTCTCATGTTCAACCTTATTACTTAGCATTTCAAGTAAATCTATTGACAATTTGAAGTTTTATAAAAAAAAAAATTGTATATTAGCTAGTTTTTCGATCAGGAACTATTATCTCAAAATTAATTTACAACATATCATTTAACATATATATATCAATTAGTTTATTAGTTAATGAATGATTACGGATTCCAAAATGATACAAACTTTTAAATGCACTTTGACAAACAAATGCAGATGTTTTAAAACTCAAATATCATACATTAAAATATAATTTAAATAAAACTATATCATTCAATGGTATAAATATGCCTTTTTCAAAAGATAGTAAGCCTCCCATTAGGCAGTCTACCAACATAATTTATGTATTTTAAATGTACATTAATAAATCTCGCATAGCACACCCACATCCAGTAGCACATCGTCGTAGCCAGATTTTGTTTTTTCTTTATATATCTAGTATAATACAATTGTATGCATAAACAAGCCTAGTCGAATAACTAACCCAATTTTTATCAAAAAAGTTGAGTACACCAATTCATATATAATTTTGGGTTTTAGTTTAGATTTTATAGTTTATTAAACGAGCCTAACCGAATTTGTACGAGCGGAAGACGGCCTCAGATTTTCATTTGTGTATCAAATGAGCAAAACCACACGTTCGAAATTCCACTTGAATAACACATATAGGTAGGAACATGTGAATTGAAGTCAAAACATAAAAGTACGTTTTAAATATTTGCTACAAATTACATGAATCACAGTGAAACAAATAAAAATATTATTAAAATGTTAATGTTGTATTTGTAAAATAACAATTCTAATTATTACATTTTTAGTTGTATCTTAATATATTGTGTTATGAAATAATGTAAAACTCCAGTACGAGGGGAATAGGCCGGTAACAGGTCCATGGAGGATCTAGTCGAAGATCAACCTATCGAGCAAAGTGGTCATCTGATCGATCACTTCATAGACTGAGAGCAGTCCAAGTATCGACCTAGACACAGTCGAGGTACAAGAGCCTTCGAGGAGATTTTAGAGAAATCTTTACCCCATATGCGGAAGGACACATGGCGCGTCTGGATTAGTCTATGTTGATAACGCCGGCGAGGAGGAAAGAGGCGAACCGATTTCTAGCCGGTCGGAGTGTTCGACGTTACCATATTATATGTTATTTAGTATTTTTAAAATGCACAAATTATATAGGATTAAAGTTGACATAAAATATATGAACAACATACATCTAATGTTGTAATTAGGTTCTCAATTCAGGTTATGAGATGGTTCGATTCGGTCTTCGGTACAAATTTGTGTAATCTTCATAACTGTACGTACCAATCATTTTTTCGGTACGGTTCGGTTCGGAGAAACTCAAACGATCAACGGTTATTTGTTGGTTTAGAGCGATTTCGGTTTGATTTTGAGGACAATTTTGAATTCCCATGCTCACCCATAGTTTTGATTTACGATTTGATGAGTAAATATAATTTAAAACTTACCATATTCATTACTGAATATATGTATACAAGGTTAAGATTATTGCTGCAAAAAAATTCTTTCGTTAAGATCATATATCTAGTTTTTGAATAAGGCTACAGTCTCATTACGGAACCATTCCGTTGAAATTTTTAACCATTAGATGCACATGCTGCACTAATCTACATGTGCGGTTAAAAATCCCTACATGTGCATCTAACGGTTAAACATCCAACGGAATGGTTCCGTAACGGGACTGTAGAATTTTCCCTAGTTTTTATAGTGTTTGAATTCTCGACCAAAAATTGTTCGCCAAAAAATGAATATAAATACTATACACATATTTTTTTTATCTATTATATAATATTAAAATTTAAATGCACATTAACTTATTATTTAAAATAAAATAATACCTATCTTGTACGAAATTAGATAGTCAATAATCAACAATCATTATTAGCTCTATAAGTATAAAATTGAGGTGAATTCATGGATCAAATAATTAGTATGATGAAATTTAAATTATTTAATAAATTCATATAAATTTGGAATTAAATAACATATAAACTCCACACAATAAATTCCACATTTAAAAAAAGTATTTTCCTATTTGGTACCAATAGGAAAAAAAAAAAGAAAAAGAAAAAATGTAACTCTCCAGTCACAAACGTGGTGTGAAAAATTGAAGAATAAAAGAAACCAACTGCCGCATCACTGCTCGTTCAAAAAAATTTCCCCCTCGCTCATCTTCTTCGTTCTTCAAAGAAGTTTTCCATCGGAGAAAATTGTCGAGTCATTAATCAGCAACTGTCATTGTACGTTAATCCATTGGAGAAAGGTACACTTCTTCAGGAATAGGTTTAAAGAGATGAGTAATCAGTTGTGTTCTTGGGACTATCCTTGATTTTTCTTTATTCTCTGTTTTTTTCTTTTTTCAAATTTCAGCCTTTGAATTGTAAGTTTCTTTTTATGGGATTGTTTTGAAATACTTGAATCAAAAGATTCTTATGACTTGTAGCTTGCAGGGGAACTATATTACAAAATTCAAAAAAAGAAATAACCTAAAATTATACCCAAAGAAAATGAATATTTTCATTACTTTCGTTTATACCTGGTAAGATGAAAGCGATTTCTAGGTTATGCCAAAGTTTTCATCTTTCGGCCATTTATTCTGAAATTTCACCCTTCTAAATTTATGTATCTAATCTTTTGGTCCTTCCTCTGAAAATTGTTTATGTATTCTGTTTTTATTCAATTAAAAGCACTTTGTGAAAAAAAAAAAATACAAAATTTAGTATCGAGTACATATCATGCTGGATCGTATGAGAACAATATCTTTTTCATAATCAAAATGAACACTTCAACGTGAAGTAAAAAATGATTTCTGGTGTAATCTATAAAATATATACGGGCTTTTATTTTGTTTATTTTCCCTGAATTTTTATCCTCATATGAGAGTTTAAGATAAATTTAATTCGTCTTAGAAATTATATTTGCTTAAATTAAATTTTGACGTTTTATGTTTAATGGCCCTTCTTTTGTAATGTTCAGAAAAGGAAGATGGACAATGTTGATACTTCCGGAATACCACCGAAAGAAAAACAACAATTTCGGTATAAGTCAGAATGGATTGATGATATTGACGTAGATGGAGATCATATAAAAGAAAAAATGTTTGAATCTGAGGAGGAAGCTGGAGAATTTTATAACTTTTATGCAAAATGTAAAGGATTTTCAATCAGAAAGGAAGATGTACGGCGCAACAAAAGCTCGGGTATGATTGACATGCGTAAATGGGTTTGTTCTAAGGAAGGGTTCCGTGATAAAAAGTGGTTAGAAAAGGAAGATAAAACAAGAGAGCCAAGGCCCATGACTAGAGTTGGTTGCCCAGCATCATTTCGTGTCAAGTACAACAAGAGGCTGAAGATGTTTGTTGTCACTGAATTTGTAAAGAAACACAACCATGAACTCATGACTGAGGAGGGCGTATCGTTTTTGTTCTCCCATCGATCGGTGAAGGAGTCTGACCTTGTAGAAGCCATTTCCATGCATGAAGTCGGTTGGCGTACGAGTGATATAATGAATTTTTTTGCACATCGATCGGGTGGATTCCACAAAATTGGCTTTACCTTGAAAGATTTGCATAACTGTATTTATGCAAAACGAAGAGCAGAAATACGAGACGGGGATGCGAAATGTGCTTTGGCCTATTTCAGTGCAAAAAAAGATGCGGATCCATCATTTTTCTTCAAGTTTGATGTCGACGAAAGCAATAGATTACGTCGTTTGTTATGGGCTGAATCTAGGTGCCAGTCAGATTACCAATATTTTGGAGACGTGTTGGTGTTTGATACGACCTACAGGACTAATGCTTATCGGAAACCTCTGGTCATATTAGCAGGTGTAAATAACCATTACATGACTACAATTTTTGGGGCTGCACTCTTGTCAGATGAAACTGAAGAGACGTACGTTTGGGTCTTAGAGACCTTTGTAGCTGCAATGGGAGGTAAAAATCCTATTTCAGTTATCACTGATGGGGATAATGCTATGAGACTGGCCATAGAGAATGTTCTTCCAGAGGCAAGGCATAGATTGTGTAGCTGGCACCTTCAACGAAATGCGGCTGTAAATGTACATTCCACGTGCTTTTGTCAAGCCTTCTACAAATGTATGGATAAAATTTGCAGCAAAGAAGAGTTTGAAAGGAGCTGGAAGGATTGTATCTAAAAGCAATAAGTTGAAAATAACTCATGGGTAAACGAGACGTATTCAAAACGTTCAAAGTGGGCAGAAGCATACTTAAGGGGACATTTTTTCGGAAATATGAAATGCACTCAGCGGTGTGAAGGTATGAACGCATATTTTAAGAAGCATGTGAATCTTAAAATGAGGTTATATGAATTTGTAAGATCATTTGATTTGGCTTTGGCAAGGCTAAGATACACGGAAGCGAAGGCAAATGCTGTAACAATAAATAGCTCTCCTGTACTTAGTACTCATTTGAAAGATATAGAGAAACATGCGGTAGATTCTTTGACCAGAAATATGTTCTTTATTGTTCGTGAAGAAATGAAAAAGGAAGCTGTATTATTGAGCAAAATTGAGCATGAATTTGGTTCAACCAAGATGTACTCTGTATATGAGTATTCAAAGCCTGATCTTACACTTACCATAAAATTTGGTTAAGTGGTGTCATGTTAGTCTTTTATCTAAACTTGTTTATATTGGTTTGGGCAGCAATACCTTGTTAATTCTTAGGTTTCTGTAATTTGGAGCACTTTATGGAGAATTCATAGGTTTTTTGTAATTTTCTCTTGACAAAGAAGCAAGAAGTTTCACAATGTTAAGTGTTTCTTGAGAATTGGAATAGAATATCAACTGATGGTGATGGTGTTGCAAGCTGTTTGAGTTATTAGCATCCTTGATCTTTTCGTTCAGAAGAAGCATGTTGAAGGCAATAAAATTTTGGTATTGTTCATGTAAAAGCACACACAATTGAGCTCCAGGGAACTCCAAAGGTTATTATGGTCATCTATACTTTGATTTTTTTCAAAATTTGTTTCGTTTTACCTGGTTTTATTGAATTAATTGATTATGATCTTTGTACAGTAACAATGTTACTTGGTGTTGTGCTTTTATTTATTGTCATGTTGTTGCTCTCAGGTTTGAAACTTGGTCTTTCAGAGGGCTGTGTTTTGTTTGTGACATGTTCTTGGAATCGTAACTTGATCGTACATCTCTGCATAATTTTTCTACCTAAATCATGGCGATTTGGTGAGGAATCAGATTAATTTTTCTGTTGGTTTATTTTTTCTTTGGGTCTGCTGACATTTATAAAAGAAGTCAATTTGATGGTTTTCTTGTTGGGATTGGACATTTGTCTTTTGTATAAAGATATGTCTGAAAATTGCAACCTTAGTTTTAACATAATGATGTCTTTGAGTCTACGAATGCGATATTTGGTTACAACATCATTCGACTAGGTAAGGGTAGCTCTTTATCAAAATGAAAACTTGAGGTGTTAGTATTTATATTGAGCTTGCTGCAACCTTTCAAGGCTATTTGAAGGTCCGTGTCATACAGAAATATGAGGTGTTTACAATATGATAATAGATATTATTTCTACTATGTTAACTTTCTTCTTCT